TATTTTATTATTAGTTATTATAGTTAATATCTTTCTTATTAAACTCTAAAAAAGAATATTGTGTAGTAAAATTACTACCAAGTGAATATTTTACAATATTACATATTCTGCAATTTTATTCCCCTTCATAAAATGGTACTACTATCTAATTACAACTGTTAATATTTGTTTAGTGTTTTTATGAGTATGTAATAAAGAGAATGGGAGGTTATAATCAGATTAGGGTTTTATATACCAATTTTTTTCTAGTAAGATAATATTTAGTGTCTTTGATGATGTGAGCATATTTTGATAGTTATATGAGTATAGACAGAAAGTCTAAAAAGTTTTAGTTGTATTGATGCCTCCCTCGGGAAACAGAATGATAAGTAACATGAGTTTTTAGTCACTACATTTTATTTATTTTTTAAATTTTATTACAAATATATTTGGCAAAAAAAGAGTAAAAGATAAGTGAACAAATTCCTGATGCAGAACTTGGAAAATAAATTAGTTTAACAGGAAATACACAGTATTTTGATAATCTTAGTAAAAATATCTTCTCCTTATTTTGATTTTTTAGCAAATATTTCTTTTTTCTTATTTCTTAAGCTATGCTTTGTGAACTACAGTTAGAATTCAGGATAAGACAATGATCATGAAGGCATGCCTGAATTTCTCTTATACCCTTCCTTTAGCATCCTGTAGAGCAATGGACATATTATTTCTTGTATAAGACTCATAGTTTCAGATTCAGAGACTTGCTGGGAGGAATAACTGACAAAATACTCACCAACCACATAGCACAGATCTGGCCCCAAACATCCCTTAAACATGCAGTCTCAAGTCTCATATTTTGAGAATTAAGGTCCATAGAAAAGTAATTGTAGGATCAAATACAGAGAAGCAGAAACAAATACAGCAGAGGGCCAGAATAGCTGTGTAGCAGGTCTACCTCAGACCAGCTCAATGACTTTGGGCAAAGCTATGTGTTGGAAAGCCTGCCAAGTGAATCAGTGGAACACTTCTGCTTCCTCTATTCATTTATTAATTTTCTTGAGACAGAATTGATGTACCATTCAGCCTGTCATTTTAAAGTGTACAATTCTATGACTTTTAGTGTATTGTAATGTCTATTTAAGGCTCATTAGCATCTAGTACCCAAATAACTTTATCATACTAAAATGAAACCCCATGTAGTTGCTTCCCACTGCTTCTGCTTCCCTTTCCACCTAAGTTCTACAACCATTGATCTACTTTCTGTCTTATGAATTTTCTTTTCTAGGTATCTTATAAGTATCTATCTATAAGTAGATAGGTATCTATCTGTAAATAGAGTATGCAGCCAGGCATGGTGGCTCACCCCTGTCTGTAATCCTAACACTCTGGGAGTCCAAGGCAGGTAGACCGCATGAGCTCAGGAGTTCAAGACCAGCCTAAGCGAGAGCAAGACCCTGTCTCTAAGAATAGCCAGGCATTGTGGCACCTGACTTCCTTCAGAAAATATATGATGTTTAACCACAGCAGAGAGAAAGAAAATTGTTTACCTCTGGAAAACAATGCTTTTCAGCTTGTAAGTTATGTGAGCACATGTTCATTTGGTGAGAAGCAACATGAAATTACTGAATGTATGAAAATTCTACCTCAGAAAAATTGTACAAGGGAAAAAGTAAAACAGAATGGTGACTGTGAAATTTCCTATGCACCTTTCCACTTTCAGAAAGATGTACTTAATCTTCTCCTGAAGAATTCACTAACAGTCAGTCTGGAATTATAGTTTGCAATGTGCTTCTCTTCATTTTCAGATACCTTGCTCTCACTGAATTGGTTTGCTCTTCTTAGTTTTATTACATATTTCTCCAGTGAACTACATACAGTAGAACCTCCATAGCTGACCACCTCCCTACATAGACCACCCTTAAGTTGATCTAATTTTATACATATGCAACACATGTGTGTATCAATACAGTAGATCTAGTTCCTTACATTGACCACCTTTGTATGTTGACTAGTTTGCTACAGCCCCTTGGGTGGTCAGCTACAGACTTTCAACTGTATTTATTTGTTTGTTATCTTAGGCACCTCATTTGATTGGGAACCATGGGACAGCATCTTTAGACTTCCAGAGGAGAAACATGTGAATATTAAGTACAAATTCACTCTGGGGAGTTTGCAATGCTAACTGGGCTATTCTAGAGGGACATTCTTACAGCTTTGTGTTCAGTTCTGGCTGAGTCCTCTTTTCCCTTTGATCCTATGTGTCCAAAGAGACCTAGGATCACATCTAGGATGCCTCCTGAGCATTGGGATAGCCCCTATCAAAGCATCGGTAGCTAAGAGCGGGACACAAAGATTTCACTGCTTCAGTGACCAACAGTTTCACATTTTATCACGATTCCTGCATAAGCTCTTTGGTTGAGATTCTACAGTTGAAAATATACATTTAAAATTTTTCAGAGAAAAAACAGCTGGTTTTCATTACCATCTGCATGCAATACATAATAGATTATAAGATAGTTGGTCAAGATAAATTTGGGGGAAATAAATAGGAAAGGAAGACTTATAATCATATATGATACCATACATTTATAAGATACATTGACATTTGAATGAAGTGATTTGGGAGTGGAGAAAAGGAAGAAAATCCTAGACAACAGATATGCATGCATGTGTGTAATATATATATCTTACTTTTATGCTAGAATCTTATAAATTTTTACTAAAAGGAGATTTCTGCTTATGCAACTAATGTTAGAAATAATTTTGAAGGAACAAATTCTAAGAAGGCAGCTGCAGTAAAAGGAGGGTAGACAATTATTGTGCATAACCTGAACATCTCTACAGGGTGAGAAGCTTCAGTAACAAGATTAAAAAATCTTTCTTAAAAGACTGTACAAGATGGGCAGAAGTATCAGATGTTCTCTGAATTTTATTGTGACTTTCCTGGAATTCAGTACCTTCCTTTTGGTGCTCACCATCTTGGGAAGGAGACTAACACAATGAGCAAATGCAAAGACTGCGGTAAGAGGACCACTGTAAGATAGAGACTCAGTGAGTGCTTGTCTGAAGTGTTAGAGTTGAACAGAAAGGAGACAAGATAGATCTGCAATTTCTTCCTTTAATGTACAGCTGGGTGGATGTTCTTGCCACTAAATAAAAAAATGCAAGAAGAGAATGGAACAACTTACTGAATTGGGTTGGAGGAATCTTTACTAATTGTTATTACAATACATTAATATATAATATGTGATGCATTCAATGAAGATGCCATAGAAAATAGCATGGTGTTCTGACTTAGTCATCTCCTCTGAAGAAGCAGATTTCAGGAAAGGGACTATGCTGACTGACTCAGAAACAAGCAATTTGTCAAACTCCAGGCTGTCAGGAAGAATGAATTATTACAGATGGTACAATAGTGTCAATGGGAAGTATGAGAGATCTGGGAAAATATTCCAGTTGTTACGATGGACTACCTACTGAGAATAAGGTTAAGAATGACTTTATAGAAATAAATAAATGTATCCAAAATTTTATTGAAACTAAGCCTAAGATAAGACAGAGAAGAGTTTCTAGGAGGGAGGAGTGACTGTATATGCCGATCATAATTTGGGTGTGATCTCTGCAGATTTCTCGGTGTTTCCTTTCTAGGGTGTTGACTGGAGCTTCTTCTATTTAAGTGGAAGGCACTTCACCTCCTTTCTGTTGGGGTATATTAGACATATTGACATCTTACAAGCTAATTTATTGAAAACTATAAAAGAACTTGAAAATATTTTAAAATATTTACATTAATTATCAGTACTATCATGTTTGTCTGCAAACCTAAGCAATGATACTTGACTTATCTATGTGTATAGCTCTAAGTGGATTCAGTTGAATGAAGCCATAACTCTGCTTATATGTTTGCTTCTCCAGAAACCTATGAATGAAACTTGGAAAACTGAGTTTTCAAATGAAAAACAGTCATTTAAGATTTGCAAAGGGATCAAGTTTAATAAATCTTTAAAAATGTCTGTACTTTGAAACTTCACTGTTTGTTGATTTTGATTAAGTTGATTATAGGCTTCCTGTATTATTTGTTAATCTCCAAATCTCTAATTTTGTATATTCTGCTGAGACTTTAAGCTCTGAATTTTTCTGAAATATTATATGACTCTTTGACGTGATTTTCAATTAATTACTAGGAAACAAAGTCATAGTAGCTACCTTACTGCTAAGATCCAAAAGATGGAATTATAGTTCCTTTGTTATTTGTCCTAATTATGTAGATGGACTTAAGAGACAGAGGCAAGGCTGAATCTACAGAAAGAGCCATGGATTACAAGAAATATATTAATAATCAATGGCAAGTGAAGTGATTCTATGTGTATATAGTTATTTTAAATTACTTGACAGCATAAAAAAAATCTTTCAATATTTTTATATGGTTGTGTTACCCTAACCATCTTCAAATATTCTTAATGAGTTAATCTAAAAGTGATATAGTTTACCTATGACTGATGATAAAGCATTTTATAGTTTTTAATTTTGATTGCTTTATTCACATTGTTTAACATGTTGAGATCTTACTCTGAATTTCTGATTAAGTTATGCCACCTAAGAATATCAATTGCTTAAAAAATGATTATCTCAATTTTCTTAATAAAAATAAGTTATCTTTATTCTAAGACCATTTACTAAAACTATTTATAGCATAGATGCTGGCTTTGGCACAAAGATGAGATTATCTTATTGCTAACTGCTCCTCTTATAGGGAATAAAAATTACATAGAAATATAAACAATAACAAAACTCAGAAAAAACACTTAAACTTTTCATTTGCAGGAAAGGATGCTGGATCTCAGAATGATAAAGTGGTTTACTGGATGACTTACAAAGATGTAGGAGAAGACTCAGCTCTTCAACTAGCCTTTAATACCACATACCTAGATCCTCAAAAGGGAGGATTATGGAAGAGTCACTTTGTGATCCTGCTTTTCCTGGTTACTTCATGCTAAACATGCAACCTCTCAAATTTTAACATGGGAGACAATGCAACATACTATCACATCTCATCTTTCTTCCTGGTTGGTATTCCCAGTTTGGAATATTTTCACTGCTGGATTGGCATCCCTGTCTGCCTCCTGTTTGTTCTGAGCTTGCTGGGGAACACCATAATCACTGTCACTGTCAAGCTAGAGCCAAGTCTTCACCAGCCTATGTATTTCTTCCTCTGCATGTTGGCAATGAATGACATGGCTCTTGCCTCTGCTGCAGCACCCAAGATGCTTGGAATCTTCTGGTTTGATGCACATTGGATTGAATTTAATGTCTGCCTAGCACAATTGTATTTCATCCACACATTTTGCATTATTGAGTCCGCACTCCTAGTTGCCATGGCTTTTGACCGCTATGTAGCTATTTGCATCCCACTGCATCATACAACTATCCTGACAACACCAATGGTCATTAAAATGGGTCTAGTTGTTGTAATCCGAGCAATATTTTTGGTTTTGCCTGGTCCTATTCTCATTTACAAGCTACCATATTATACCAAATACATCATCAATCATGCCTACTGTGAGCATATGGCTGTGGTGAAGTTGGCCAGTGCCAACACCTTCATTAACAGGGTTTATGGAATCTCTGTGGCTCTTTCAGTGATGATATTGGACCTAGGACTCATAGCCACATCCTACATCAAAATCCTCCAGGCTGTCTTCCGGCTCTCTTCTCAGAATGCCCGCTCTAAGGCACTGAGCACCTGTGCTGCCCATGTCTGCACTATTCTTGTCTCCTACACACCTGCACTGTTTAGCTTCCTAACTCACCGCATTGGCAAGAAGGTACCTCCAAGCGTCCACATAATTTTTGCAAGTTTGTACCTTCTAGTGCCCCCTACGGTCAATCCCCTGGTGTATGGTGTCAAGACCAAGCAGATTCGTGACCGAGTGGTGAGTCTCTTTCTTCCACATAAGAAAATTTCTGAAGAGTAAAACACTTAAACAGCAATTCATATTGGTCGTTCAGGAAGTTATGGTATGTGAACAATGTCACCACCCTCTTTCCAAAATATTATCTCTCGATTTAGCTATGCTTTCTATCAGTGATATTTGATGTTGTCCATTCTTTTATTCTATTTATTTTAAGTTTTTTATGTTTTTTCTTTTTTGTTTTAGAAATAATGGAATGCCTTTTAGGGTATTTTTATAAATATTAGCAATGATTGTTAATTATTATTATTTTATGTTCTATGTAATCAAGTAAATGTGTTATATTCTTAAATGTAAAAAGATGAGGTCAATTATTATACTCATTTAAAACTTTTCAGCATATTAGACTCTGGAATTTATAACACACATTTTTTTCAATTCCAGCTCTGCACATATTGGTATAAAAGTCTGGAGTAAAAATCATTACTTCCAAGATGCTCATAGAGATCAGAACAATGGCATAACCCTCAAAAAAATGACTAGAGTCCTCTATAATCCAAAAAAATCGTACTGTATGATTGGTGTTATTATCATTTTCATAGAACAATCAGGAAATTGAGGCATAGAAAGGTTATGTAAATTGGAAAAGTTTACTCATTTAAAAGGTAGCAATGCAGAAGTCGAACACAAAATCCTGGGTTGAGAATGCATGTTGTTCATTTCTGCTTGATAACATTTCTTGTGCAGAAGTCTTAAGATTTTTATTTATTTTATGAACAAGTAAACTCATTCTTCTTGATATTTTATATTTTGTTTCTGCCTCTCTGGTCTTCTTATTATAAATATTGGAGGAGATTCTTTGAGTCTTTCTCATTCCCTATACCTGATAAATTCTATTACAATATTTCGACAGAATCCCAAGTGAAGACTGTTGCCCTTGATTTACTAATGTACAACAATTGTAGCCTGGTAATATTATGACTACACTTTCAAACTTTGAGTACAATTTGAAGAATCTGCAGTCTCCTTTTCTTTAGCTTCAGTAAATAATAAATTTGGCCATATTTATTAAGTGCTAAAACTAAAATGATTCACCAGCTAAGAACCTTAATTTTAATTTGCACAGAGCACAGAAAGTGTTTTTTAAAAAGTATATATCTACATGCTCTTTTTAAAACATGCTTTTGCTTGTAGATCATGTTCATGAGATGAGGGGTTTTTGAGTTGAAAATTGTCGATTTTTGTTCAACATTATTATATGTTTTTAAAATATTACAGATACGATTTTGGTCTGAAATGAATTAACTCATTAAAACTTAGGTTTTTTGTATTTGTTTTCTACAGCCAAATTTTTATTTTTTGAATTATTGAATATATTTCATTAACTTTTGTATGCAATTAGACAGCAAATAGTTGTGCTATTTTAACTGTACAATAATCATATATTTCTGTTCACTTATTCAATAAATTTGTTCTGAGTGGCTATATGTGATACTTAACAAGTAGAATTCTGATGAGAAAATGTCTAGTTTAAATACTGCCTCCATCACTAATAGCTAAATAAATTTTATTTTAAATTTTATATATTACTAGTTTTATTATATGTTAAGTGAGGAAAATTATTTATATACTTTATAAGGTCAAGGTAAGTATTTAATGAAGTAATGAATGGAATACAATCATCACAATAGTCAATAATATCTTATTCCTTATATACTAGGATGTATATATAATATATATTAGAAATATGATGATCAATAAGAAAGGTATTTTTTCAGAGACATAAACGTAGCTCCCAACTGGATTGTTTTACTAGAAAGAGTTATTCCTCTAATTAATATGTCCAAAATTGGATAGATTTCACTTATTCTCCAAACCAGACAACCCTACTTTTTATATCAATGGTTAATACTGTAAATCACTTAAATTAGTAATCTCTTCATAAGTGTTTATGAGTTAAATATATGCTAAAATGATATGACAAAGCAAGGAGCAAAAGAATAAATAAAATGAAGATACCCACAACAAAAACTCAGTATCTATAACAGATATTATAGAAATAAATAAACCCAATGTAATGCAGGTTAAGAATTGTGCAGATGAATTTGGAACACCAAAAATAACATTGAGCTTAAGGAAAATAAAATTTCAATCATGGCCTATTGGAGAAAGTACCAAGGAAAAGCTTACCTGAGTTTTGAGGAATAATGTTTTCACTAGGAATGAAAACAAGGCAAGTGTGTTTGAGTAGAGGTAATGTCACCTAAACAGAAATAACAAGAAAAGTGAAAATACATTCAGATGAGAGTGATTTCATAAGAGCAAACAGAGAAGACAATTTCAAAGAAAATTATGCATTTAGAAAGAAGCAAGACATCCAATAAGAAAAGTTCTGGCTTGTGTCACTACCAAGGTCACCGATCACTTTATCAAGTAAAAAACAGGGCAATGATAATGGTGAGAGTCCCAAACAATCTGGTATAAGGTGTATGACTGGCTTCAGGTAACAAACCTATCCTCAAACCTGAATTCATTGATTAAGGGGCAATACTATATTTTATATGTATAGTGCCTAACACTATCTTTGATCAACCACACAGAATATGAGTATTTCACACCCATGTGACAAGTCAAAGCTTATAGGCCAAATGCTGCTTCTTCAGAGAAGGGCCAGAGACATTAATTCATGTGCTATGAATGCCTTTATCCTCTAATTGTAAAGTTGAATAATTATGAGAGGAATTCATGAACAGCAAAACTTAAACTATTTACTTTATATCCCTCTACATAGAAAACTTTGCTGTACATAATTCAAAGCAACAGTGGGATACAGTATAAGATCTAAGTTGCTTATTTTGCTGTATATAATTCAAAGCAACAGTAGGATACAGTATGAGATCTAAGTTGCTTATTTGTGTGTCAGTGTACAGTTGTCTTTATAAACCTATCTTTTAGTTTTAAATATTCTATCAAAAATGTTATAAGAACTATGTTATAGAACTGACAAAAACATTTATAGATAAATTTTGTAGGAGATAGATCTACTTTATCATCCAGTATTTTCTACATTTATACATTTATGTGTGAAACATTTTGTATTCACTTTCAAGAACATATAACAATTTCAAATGCCAAATGAGCATATGTAATTCATAAAAATGATCTCCCCTGAAGAATTAATATTTTCTTTGAACTAATAGCTGTGGTCTTAACAGTACACCTTAAAATTCATTCATTTAATCAGATCTTAGTTCAAATTATGTTGATATTTAACCTTCTAATAGAAAAGTATTCATTATCTTATGCAGTGTCCTCAGAAATTTCATGACTATGGTTCAATTACATCTATATCTATCTACACTTATCTAAAAATCTACCTACTCATTTATTCATATCAATATTTTTCTATAGATGTAGATATACATAGTAAGTATCTAAATATTTAGTGGAAAATTTGGGGTTAAAATATATATAAGAATTTCCACTTTAGTTCAAATTTATAAAAGTTTATAAATCCTCATTCCTATCCTTGCAGTATGAAAAAAATATAAATATAAAAAACTCCTGAAAACTAATGACTTTTTTACTCAGTGAAATAAGATTATGGGACCAATTGCTAACTCAAAATATGAAGAGTCATGGCAACACAGAGCATCAGAATTATCAGTTAACCTAAAAGAGACATCACTAGAAATTTAAACAATCCTGTTCTGCAACAGTGTTAGAAGAAATCCTAAAGGGAGAAGGAAAAATATACAGGTAGAAGACTTAAATAAAAGTAAAGAAATTAAAATCATTGGAAAAGAATTAACATAGGTAAAATTTTCAAAAAGCTTTGATATTTATTATTGGCTGATTTAATGAATGACCCCTTATTAATAGCAATAGCAGTAAAAAGGTGCTACAAATTTAAGGATGGGGATAAATGGAAAACAGTATATACTTGGAATAGTATAAGGGATGAGAGTGAAGAATTGGGAAAACATCATCTTAAAGCACTTGAACTACCTATGACCAATAGGTACCTATTGAACTACCTATGACCAATTGAAAGTGAGCTTGGATTAATTCTAAATATATCCTGAAAGTTCAGAGAAAGCACTCAACACTTTAATGTAGTATAATTGATATTCTAAGCGATAAGAGAGACTGGAATCATATCATATTCTCAGTTAAATCTAGAGAAGACAGATAAAAGAAAAAGGGGAGAAAGAAAAACTAAAGAATAAATGGAGTGAATAGGAAACAACTACAAATGTGGTAGATATTAAGCAAATGACATCAAGCAGGCCTTCATCTTTGAACTGTCGGAATACACTAATTAAAAGACAAAGATTTTCATAATAGAAGAAAACTCCTAGATACACCTATATATATTATATATAAGAAACCAAATTTCAATATAAAAACATATAAATATTAAAATTAAAGGCATAAAAAATACAGGCAATGCTACCTAACGCAAAGAATGTTGGGCCGTCTACATTAATGTTAAACAAAGCAGACTTTAGATCAAGGAAAATGATGAGAAATAAAATGGTCATTATATAATAATAAAAGGTCAGCTCTCCAAAACACATAGCAGTCAGTAATGTATGAACGTAACAACAGAGAATAATGTAATAATCCGTGGGCAAAACTGACTGAAGTGCAAAAAGATACAGACAAATCCCCTGTCGGAACTCGAGACTGAACTCCCCTCTTTTTATAATTGATCAAGCAGACAGCATATCAATGAAGATATAGGTAACTTAAAGAGCATCATCAATCTGTTTGTTCTGATTGTATGTATAGAATGCTTACTTGTCAATGTCACAGTAAGCATTCTTCTCAAACTCACATGAAAATTTGAAGATAGACCACATTCTGAGCCATAAAATACATCTTAACAATGAAAAAGTATAGAAATAATCCCAAGTATGTTCGCATACCCCAATTGAACCAATCGAAAATTATTAGCAGAAAGATACCTAGAAAACCCCCAACTATTTAGAGATTTACAAGTCTAAATAACACATAAATAAGAGAAATTTTACAAAACTATATTTTGAGCTAAATGAAAA